TAAACAGAACTGTTAGTATGCATACTTCAGTGTATTAGTGTTTTGCTGGAGTAATCAGTTAACTATGATTTTTATGTTTCTCGAACCAAACATGTGCTTAAGTATCTAATTAGGAATACATTGATGACATGATCACAGACTGTCTTGAATATAGTTAGAAACTGTTGTTTCCCATAACACTATATTTAGGCTGTTAAGCTACTTGATGCAATGAGCAAATTGTACAAATGAAACTTGAGAAATCAACCACATGTAGTACAATTGTGGCGTACTAAACCTGTGCTAAATTTATAAATGTATTCGGTCTTTATTCCTTTTAAGCCCCATTCATCTTAGTCTGCGCCTGAGTTTGCAACTATTTCTATTATGTTATGCCCACATTGGGCATCTCCGTGTCTACAAATGTTAATGTACAACGAGACTGAAGAGTCAGGGTAGCACAGTGATAAGTGAGACTAACTAACAAGGAACTGAGGTTAAATTGCAGACAGATAGAGGGTTTACTGCTTAGCAGGTTATTAAGCCACCTATTGTGTAACGGCTGGTGATACTACCAGTCTGCTGAGAACTGGATAGGTGAAACGTGCTCGAAACCCAAAACCCACTAATTGGCAGACCAATAAGCCATTGTACTTTATGGATCTGCCCATTGGAGTAACCAGCAGAGACCGTTCTCGTTTTCACTTCAATAAACAACTAATCGGTAATAAATGAGAATACATATTTTTTAAGTCGCCAAACATTTGTGCATTGAAAGTTAAGAAGAGTTTTGGAATTCATGAGTTTGGTGATGGTGATTTGCGTTCCTCATAAGCATTCGTTAATCCTCAGCAGAAGACATCTCCAGCTTTCGACGGGTTGACAGCAGTTCTAACATTAGTCGTGCAGTAAGCATTCACAGTTCTTTACATTTCTCATGCTGCGTACTGAAGTGTGCGGTTATAGTCTACAGAACAATAACTAGTAATTAAGGTGGATTAACCAGATTACGAAATATCCGTGGACATTAACCAAATGAGGACGGAGCATAAGCCTGATTGTGCTTGTGTAGCATGAGCACTCGCCGTTGTCTGTTGACAACGTAGAACTTGTGAGCTTTCTGAAATAATACATAGGCAACTCATGAGCATGTGAACTGGATGTCCATGGGCAACACCATACTTTTGTCCGAATAATAAGCTGAGTAAGTAGTCGGAAAATGTAGCAAAAGTAATTGGATCTCCGGACACTCATCAAGTTTCGCCGCACTAACCAGGTCAAGCAAATAACGAAATTCGATCGTGAATGCGTGTCTCACGAACGCAGAAAACAACCATGGCTCTGGATCCAAAAGTTTCGACAAGGGATTCTAGCTGCTTACAACACCAATAATGCTTCTGTAGGGTAGCTTAAAAACGGGGGTTTTCGTTAGGGAAGTTTACATGATGAACCGAATTTACATTTCTCAAAAGCACAAAATTCGTACGTGGCGGGAGGTGCTTATTTTACAGCTAACAAACCTGCTTATCTTACTTTCATGGAGTTTGAAAAAAGGAAAGACCAAATACATATTCATAGAGTAGTTTTAGGAAGTAAGGAATGCTGTAGTTTCATCGTCCCATACACAAATGCACGTAGTCTCTTAAACAAGTGGACTGAGCTTAGTAATGTACTAAGCATAGAAAGTCCTGACATCATTGCTATCTCAGAAACTCGGCTCTCTTCTGAGACCATTGACAGTGGAACACATTTACGAGGATTAGTTCCTTTTAGAAGTGATAGGCTAGCACTCAGAGGTAGTGGTGTCATTCTCTACACAAAGAATACTTTAACTGTAGGAGCCATAGAAACGGTTGTACATGAGAGTGGGATTTGTGAAATGCTGAGCAGCCGACTAAAATTTAGGGCACAAGGTGTTAACCTAATCGCGGTATATCGAATCTCTGAATATGAAGCAGCAGACTTCGTCCTGAGTAGGCTGATCTTCTGGACAGATAACTACCGATGTCTAGTTGTAGGAGACCTCAAGGCACCATCAGCTGACTGGGATAGACTAATAACAGAAGCATCCCTTAACCCGTTTGATCACGCGTTAGTGGAAACATCAACTTCCTTAGCCCTCATACAGCGCATTAGGACACCAACCAGATATGATCATCAGCATGCTCCATCAGTTCTAGACCTAGTATTCTCACATTCAAATGATGTATGCTTCATCCAGCACCTAGCATCCCTTGGTAAATGTGATCACGCTGTAATCGTCTTCAGATTCACAGCAGACGTCTTGTACCAGGCCGATGCTCCAGCTAGACGCAACACATGGAAAGCGAATATGGAAGCTATTGACCTGGCGGCCTCTTCGGAGGACTGGACAGTCAATCCAGAAGCCTCAGTTGAAGGTGCGTGGTGCTCCTTCAAACAGTTATATGGACGAGTGACCCAACCGTTCATTCCGCGGACTGTTCTGAGGGGACGGAAACACTGTCCTCCGTGGATAAACCATGAAATCCGAATCTTGCTACGACGCGATAAAAAGTGTTAGAGTCTTGCTACCCACCTGGGTGCTTTCAAGGTGATGAAGCATTGCAAAGAAACACAAAATAAATATAACGCTGCTATTGTCCGGTCTCGAATACGCTTCATGGGGCGTCTTGCCCAGGCTGCACTGCGTCATTCGAAGTGGTCATTTTCCCATATGAACTTAGGAATAAGAAGCATCGTACTATACCCGCCCTAATCAAAGGGACAGAAAATGACTGTTTCATGGAAGACAATAAAGAAAAGCAAGAAGCTATGGCTGGATAGTTTGCTGAGGTCTTTACACAGGACGTCCTAGGGACACGAATTCAATAGTGGAAGCATTGGGATCCAACAGAATGAACCTTGTGGATATCGACTGCGATGATATATTTGAGACATTATGTAATCTCGATGTAGAAAGACCGACAGGATCGGATAAGTTGCTCAGAGAGGTGACATACTAAGTAGCAAGTCTATTGACTACTATATTTAGACTATTCCTCAGTGAAGGCACACTCCCCCATGATTGGAAGGATCCCATGTTCCCAACTATCTACAAGGCAGCCCCCATTAAATTACAGGTCGATAAGTTTGACCAGTACTGTAGTAAAACTCCTAGAAAGAGTGATCAAGAAAGCCATCGCAGTCCACTTAGAGAACAAAACTTCACTGCCGTTCGCAGCACAGCTTTCGCAGAAACTTCTCCTGCTTGACGAACCTTCTCAGTCGGGTAAAACCTTAACTCTACGGTGATGTAAAAATCTGGTGGGGAATTAGGGTTAACTTGGATGTACGTGCACCTCAGACAGGCCTAGGCAGCTTGTGTACCTGGTCAGAGAAATGGCTGATGCCTACGTACGCATGTAAATGTGTGAGCCTGCACATAAAGCACACCTACGATATTGGTAGAACTACCCTACCGTCAGGAACGACTCACGATTACCTGAGTTACAGTGAGTAATGATTTGAGAACCACAACACATTGTCGATTGGTCGCAGCTCGGAGGTTTAGGACACTTTGGGCATCATGCGGAGGTATTTGTTGATGTGCCTGTAATTCTCCGTTGTTTTACTAAATCGAATTGTTTGATCCCTATCGGCATACGGGCTCCTATGGTTGTCTCGAAATCACCTGAACATCTATTATATTGATTTACTTGGTTGTGGCTAGCACAGGAATCAAAGACGCTTCACTCGCTGTGACTCGTCAGTCGAATAAACCTGTACCTTAGTCAGTAACGTTGTTCCCACTGGGACTCTAACCTCGTGCCCGTCGCATGAGAAGCCACTGAGGCACGATAACCATCGCTTGAACAACAAGTATTAGTTATTACAATTTGTTGGTGTTTGTAATCCTCTGTTGGTATTTACTGGATCGGGTAGGGCCAAAAGTGCGCCCTGAATTCCTCTGCTAGCCACGACCAAGTACAGTAACATTGTGCGGAACGTTTACAAAAATTAGTGGTGATATTCTCATGATCTTATATACATCCTTAATTAGGTTTATACCACAAAACTGTACACAGGTGCCTAATCCTTGGCTGAAAGGTGACTCAGACCTTCTGGAGAGTCCACAGGGGAGCCACTCATATGATCTTTTCGATGACTGGCACGACATACTAAGGTGGACTAAAGGAGCTGGACCGTTTCTCTTTACCATATCGCCGAGAGAAGGGAGATTTAACCATGCTATACAGGGGCCTTAGAAATGACTGTGAACTTGATATGTCTTCCTTCCTACAAGGTTGGGACACCTCATAGGATATGTAAAAAGAAACAAAATCAAAGCACTGGTTCTCGCGTCAAGTAATCAACTTCTACTGCTGCCCACATCATCAATTGACTCGTTCAAAAGAGGATTCGACAAACATGGAAATCTACTGAGGAAGGATTAATGTAGCCTCAGCCTTCTATCTTCAAACCACAAATCTGATTCCGTCTTATGACTTCAAGCGGTTATTAAACTAACACAGAATTATCGAGCTAGAGACCTGAGAAGATTGTATTGCGGATATTTGGGACACTGGTAATGCTCAGTGTTCTAATGAGCATCTATTACGTTCAAGAAATACTTTTTCCCCGCAGCCATGTAACACTAATCCATCCTCCGTTCCGTCCAGATGTTTGGATTCGAAACTACAATTTAGAGACGGTCTCATTTCAGCAAATATTATATCTTTGGCGCACTTCCAATAAGATGGCGCTAGAATTGGTCACTATTTCCTGAAAAGACTAAACGGCTTTGCCACTAAGAAACACTGTTATTTATGCTCATACGGATATATTACATAAACGCAGATTGGATAGTAGAACATTACGTGGACCTTGGAAAGTCTCGCATTAAAGCCTAGAAACTGTCTACCAGATTCATACTGTGCGTTGGAATAAAGTCTCAAAATAGCAAGTCTACCACGTAATTGAGTTCAAGGAATCATAACTCGGTCATATGACACCGTGTGGGATATCATACTATAGCACAAGGCAACTCAGAACTAGCAAGTATTTTTAGAGGGAAATTCATCGTTTATTCAACATACATCAGATTTAAAATACCTTTAAATAGGATAATCAGTTGTCAGAAATATACATCAACCAGACTTGAACAGCAGAACAGCGACTTGTCCAGCGTAAAAGTAAATGAAATGCCTTGTTTCATGCGTAACGTAACTCCCGAAATTCCTCCCAACAACGCAGTGCCACGTTGGATTGTACTTCTTGTCAAACTATTGGGCTAAGTAAGTTGTTGACAAAACCCACCTCCTTCTTGATGTGAGCAGCGATATCTTTCTCGATATTATACTTTTCAATTGCTTGAAGTGCTACATCTAAAGCGTCTTGCTGCATATCATCGGACATATCCGCATTTTTTACAACAGCCTTTCTGCTTCCATCAGCCATATCCTGCCAGTTACTTCTAAGCCGGGTATCAAACTAAGATCAACAACGGGATTGAAAAAATTGAAATTGGCAAGGTTAGTGTTTGGCTGCCATGTACACAAATTGATTGGTTGTTCCTTAGTAACTTGGCTTCATTTCAAGGTCATCCATGTCATTTCTCATTGGTGAAAAATTCCCCCTACTAGTTTTGATTACTCGAATCACATTAGCTTTTGCAATACAACGTGAATGTATTAAGTCTGAGACTCGCGTTTAGGTCAGTAAATTGAAGCAGCGGAATTGCTCAAACCAATTTTTCTACCTCTTTCTGATTTCACTCGTAAAAATTAAAAATTATTGCGAAACTAATTTCTTATCATAAACGTTGTAACGTATCAATAACCCACAAAGTTCTTCTTCCAAATTACTAGCAATACTACCAAAATTAAGCAACACAGTTGCATGTAAACACCATTAAAAATCTATACATAACCATATAAACATCCGGACCATAGCTTCTACGAATGTCCTGGAAGAAGTTGAGCGCTGTCTGATTGAATCATAATAAGAATATATGTTAATATAATCCCAGTGTGTTTAGAAAATCAAAATAAGATATTTCTGAACGTTTCGTTGTGTAAGCCACAGCTTCTTCAGCAGAATATACGGATTTTTATTAACATCAAAATATATAGTCAAATGATACACCACGTATATTTCGTGAGCGTAGGTTAGGTGATTTTTCTGTCCAACCTGAGTAATTGAGATTAGTGATAACAAGTTCATGCATGTAACTGTCATTTGTCAACGAATATACACGACCACCAGTGTGTATGTTTGTGTTTATGTATGTTGTCGAGTATGTGTTGTTTATTGTACTTTTATTTGTAAGCTGTCAATAATTGTCATTGTTATTGTAGCTTGAATTCAAAGAGGTCATCATTAGTGATTTTGCAAATTAATGTTTGCCAAACGGGTGACAAGTCTTTCCCCTTTTTTTTGTCTACAACATTTGATGTTGTTAAAATATGCAGGGCTTCAGAAGTTAATTTTTCCTTATGTGAATGGAAACCTTTCCCAATATGTCTACATTCTCAAAGTCAATCATGTGTCGACTTTCAATTGCATGCATAGCTACTGCCAATCGCTTCTCTAAATCTTTTAATTCATCTTGATTGCTCGGTGAATGTTCCGTATATAACCTATGTTAGTTCACCCTAACATTTAAGGGTCTACAACTTTCTCCAACACATTCAGCTTCACATTGCAAACATTTAATTTTGTAGACACAGTTCTGTGTCATCTTAGGAATTGTATCTTTCACTTTGACTAAGATCTTTTCTAGTGAATTTGAAGGTTGAAAACAGACTGTAATACCATGCGAGGCGCACACTTTTAATGTGTTCAGAAGTACCTTCTCGATATAGTATCGTCATAGATGACGTCCATGATTTTGTTATACCTTTATTACCAGTAGTAGTAGTAGTAGTAGTACTTTCTGTTTTGTTCGTTTGAGCGATAATGTTGTACAAGAGCTTTTAGGCCATCCATTTCCCAGTAAAACATGCTTTATTCGGGAGATTTCATTTTCTAAATCATTAGGATCGGTTATGATATTTTTTGCCGTATTTTGTGGGTTCAATGCGGCACTAGCCTTTATGCTAGTTGGGTGATAGGATTGAAAGTTTAAATATTTATCGGAATGTGTTGGTTTTCTGTAGATTCTCATACAGAATTTACCTTCAGTTGTTCTTTGGATAAAACAGTAGATTGTCTAAGAAGTTTAGAGTGCCGTCCTTAGATTCTATTTAATTAGTGAATTTAATGGAATCTGAAATATAGTTTTTATGTCCTAAAAATTTCTGTTGGTTTGTTTTCTTAAGAATGACAGATGTGTCGTCCATATATCTATGCCAAATTCTGGGTTGGCATCGGACACTTCTTAAAGCTCTTTCTTCTAAAGCCTTTATATGGAGATTCTCCACAGTTGGAGATGCTGGCGAACCCGTTGCAACTCCATTTGACTGAAGGTACATTCTATCTCTAAACGTGAAATATGTAGATTTTAAGCAAAGCTTCAGCGATTTTATAATATCCTCTAGTGAAAGTGGACATTCAGGCATTGCATCTTGGTTATTATTAATAGCAATTTATACAAAATGTAGACATTCACAGGTTGGTATAATAGTGCGGAGAGAGACTGCATAGAAACTTGCCATAATTTTATCATCTCCTATGATAATATTCAACAGTTTATTTTGATATTTGAAGAAATGTCATTTTGGAATGGTTTCAGAATTCTTGATAAATACTTCGACAGATGATAGGCTATCGAATTTGTAAAGTCAATAATTGGTCTAAGGGCAATTCCTGTTTTATAGATTTTTGGTCTACTGTAGAATCTAGCGTCTGTGTTCGCCTAAGGAGCCAATGAAAACCATGTTGCATTCCAAGTTTCAGTTTCATTCCCCTCAATAATTTACATATTTCAGCTTTCATTTTTTTTTTAGTGTGCTTTGATGTATATTACTTCGGATAAGTTCACATGGTCCAGTTTTGAAATGCTCCAGTGCTTTCTTTTCATAATCTCCCTTATTCAGCGCGACCATGACATTGCCTTTGTCTGCTTTCATTATGACTATTGATTATCAGATATTAAAGTTTTTAAAGTTATTCTATCCTCTTTCGTCAAGTTAGAAGCAACAGGCTTCTGATTTGCCATGATAGTTCCGACTCCATGACGTATTGTATGCGCTTCTCCTTTTGATATAAGTGATAAAACTGGTTCCATAATTGGGGGCTAATTCCGTTGTTTTTAGAGGCTTTCTGGAGAAATTTAAATTGAGCCCTTTCTTCAGCAATATCACTTCGTGCTCATTTAATTGCTTGCTGGATAAATCACATATCACTCTTGTATAGTGTGAATCGGCTTTTTTATTATCATCTGCTTTTCATTTGCTTGAGTTGATTATTATATTATATTTGTATTATTTGTCCCTTACGTTCCTAATGGAACATAGGGCTTCAGTAGCACATCTCCAGTGAACTCTGTTCTCTGAAATCTTTTCAACCTGGCTCCACAACAGCCCAGAAGCTCTCATTTCCTCCTCGCTCGATCTCCTCCATGTCACCCTCGGACGTCCAACTCGTCACTTCCCATCGGGGTTCCACTCGAGGGCCTGACGCGTGATGTCCCCAGCCGGCCTTCCAGTGTTTGCCCAATCCATCTCCACTTCCTTCCAGTGCATATTTGTTGCGTGATAGGTTCTTGGTTGGTTCGTTCCCAGAGTTCCTTGTTGCTTATTCTTTCTGGCCATCTGATCTTCAGTAGCGAGCGTAGGTGGCAGTTGTTGATGAATGTCTGTAGTTTATTGGAAATCCCTTTCATAACGCGCCAAGTCTCTGAACCATGCAGGAGCACTGACTTGACATTGGTGTTGAAAATCCGAATCTTGTTACACATGCTGAGTGCAGAAGATCTCCACACTGGTTTCAGGCTTATGAACGCTTGTCTTGCTTTTCCGATTCTGACTTTGACGTCTCTATCTGTGCCGCCTGTAGTTGAAACAATGCTGCCCTACCTAGATAGGTGAAGGAGGCTACTTCCTTTAGGTTTCTCCTGTTGATGGTGATTAGAGTTTGTTGTTGGTGCGGTATCTTCATCACCTCTGTCTTCTCTATATTCAAATTTCCGAATATGTCTTTGCTTAATATTTCGAAAGTATTTCGATTCTCGATTCTAACGATATTTTTTGAGATTCGTTGTGTGTAATTTGTATTTTTCTACTTGCGCCATTTGCTGAATTGCTGTAGTGCGTTTAGGTTTTTTGTTTGGTTTCTGTGTCCGGCTTCTTATTCTTGATGTTTGCCGGTATTTTGTTCCATATGTTTGGCTCTGTATTTGATAAACTGTTTCCATGATACGGCGTACTTGGTACCAGGATTTATATTAAGATAATACTCCTACCTAGGTCAAAATCTCAATGCGCATGTCAAAATTACATCCAGTCGCACTTATTTGTACCTTCTTGAAAATTATAGAGACGCTCATAATACGTCTTCTCGGACCCTCACCAAAGTATTTCGATGACCCTAATCAATTTGTGTATAAAAACAGAAGCACTTTGGATGGCACCACTTCCTTATATCATATTATTGTTTTTAATCTTGATATATATGCTAAGTATATCAGGTGTATCGTTTCAAACTATACTTCGGCTTTTGATTCTGTCACATGATGTCCTTTGCTTGACAGCCTAACAGGGACAAATACTGAGTCCTGGATAATCAGCTGGCTGGATTCCTATTCGTCTGAAAGGAAATAATATACTGTCCACAGAGTTATTTTATGAGGTAACCAGCATATTCTTCACTCAAAGCTCTCTGCCTGTCGGCCATGTGGAAAGATGAGGAGCAAGTACATAAGACTTTATGCACATACTACAAAATATAAAATCTCTACATTATCGTATTTACCTCGTTCGATGTGGAATGAAGAAAGCATTAAAAATGAACTGAGTAATCAACTTTTGTTTTTGAAAGCATACTAACTGATGATGAGCATGTTACTGTTTATGAATCTAATTTCTAATGTGATTGTCTACCTAAATTAATTGTATATTGTTGAGAAGGGTGAACGTAGTGTGAATATTCTTTTCTTTTTTTAAATGTAATTTATGCTTATTTAATTTTACTATGTATACATATGCTGTTTCTGTCCAGTTTATGTTATGTGACATGCCGAAAAATCTGTATGGTATTCTCAAAATAGCTTTCAGAATGAAGCCATTATTATTATCGTTACTTAAGAAGTGTCCAATACCAACCCAGAATTTGGTATAGATGTGTGGATGACACGTTTGTCATTCTTAAGAATGTCGTATGACCTGTTAGTCTCACTCGTATTATGCTTAGGATTGTGTAGAAGATAATACAATATCTGATACTTAAGCACTTATACACATGTAACCTATCGACTGAAGAGCAATGTACCTTCCTGGTTGAACGCTATTGTTTAACAAACTTACTCCTGGCGAGGGAGAAATAGGTTGAGGCTAGGGACGATAAATTCCTTTTCAATTCAGTGTTGCTGCCTTCAGCAAGGCTTTTGTCAAAGTGCCACATATCCGGTCGTTGAAGAAACTTCTCACATTTTGTATTGACAAAGTGGTTCATGCCTGGGTCAGGAACTACTTACATGAGAGTAGGCGGGGAGAAGTAATCAGTGGAATACTATCTGAATGGCGACCTGCCACTAGTATTGTTCCTCAGAGGACCATTCTTGGACCGCTGCTTTTCCTTAATGAAGCACCATTGTTATTCACACATCAGGCCTAAATATGGAAGACCATCCATAATGAAGATGATAGGTCTCCAATCCAAACGAGCTGGTTGAGTGGTCTAGACAATGGAGCTTGGGAACTAATTTCAGCAAAAGTGTGATGATCCTGATCGAGTATGCATTTTCTGGTGGCTACTCACTATATTGTCAACTACAACCTCGGATTTGGGAAGAAAAAACTTAGGGCTTCAGAATACTGCATCTCAGCTGCTAGTTCATGCTTCAAAAAGGAAACTGATACATTAGAATGTGTCCAAAGGGTTGCCACTAAATTAATGCGAGATCTTGCCTACCTTCCTTACAAAAAGTGATTAGGGCAATAAACTTTCTTTCCTTCTCGTTTCGCAGAAAAAGGCGACATGATTTGACATTTCTGATAACGACAGGTATTGATTTATACCGTTTCACCTACTCGCTGTAGGACGGATCATCTTCGACGAAATCAAAAAAGGAGCCAAAAGCTACGGTCGAATCATATTCGAGTGAAGTAATGGCTCTCACATAGAGTGGCTGGAATGCGTTACCGAATCAAGTGGTAGCAGCTTCTTCCGTGATCCCATTCAAGGAAAAACTGGACCTTTACAGAGATAATTATTGCAAGGATTAACATGTGCTAATATTCTTTTATTTTTTTCACTGAAGACTGGTATAGAGAATAATCATAACAAAGTAATAACTCTGAGGCATGGTTAACATAGTTCTAATTTTCACCACGGTAAATATCGATGTTACACTGAGTGACACATCTAGTAAACCCACTGGAATGGAATGACACTTAACTAGAGTCCATATTTTATCATCCCAGTTCTTTCTGTCTTTGTTAGAAATATTTCGTTTTTTGGTCCATATGGCTGTTTGTCCGGCTAAAACTTTCGTATGTATTTACGTCCTAAGGGACATTTTCAAACTTATCCCAACATTTGAAAATAGAAAAAAGCTAACCAACTTCTTGACTGTCCCCACCGATCTCAATGGTAGAAGTCCAGTCGATGGAAAATGAGCGAACGCTACTCTTGATCGGGTTTTCCTTATCTGTATACCAATACAACCCCTACTCCTCACTATTTGCATATAAATACCTCTATCCCTTTAATTTCTGCATTATTGCAGTCTCATAGCTGAAATGTGACTAGGTAGCTGCGAGTACTTGGAAACCAATACACGTAATCCTACTTTGAACGAAATCAATATGCCGACGTTTTGCTATGCTACCATAATGGTCTGCGAAGTGTCACAACCATTTGTGATGAATTGTACTATGAAAGAAAACATAATAAGCGTATAGTACAATCTAGATATTTATATTCGTCAGTTTCTTCATCCATATTTTGAAGTCATAATGAGAAGCTTTATTGTTATACGAGTTAAACTTAGACACAGGTAAAAGGTACTTCCGTTTTAGTCGTACTGTTAGATGTGCCATAGTGAAACAGTATGATTTACTAGAACACCTCAGACAATCTGTTGTTCACAGTCATATCGAGGAGCAAGAATAAAGACTATATACACCATCTCTCAAAGTTGTTGAGTTCTCTGGATGATAACGGAAACTGATATCAAAAATAGTTTTAAAAGGACAACTAATAGATTTTACTTACTGGTAATAAACAAAAATATTTCCCATGCAAACCTTTAGTATCAATTCTACTTTTCGATCTGTCTAACAAAGAATGCTGTTTTAAGTTTAGTTCGAAAAAATATGATTAGCGTTTGCAGCATTTACATAAGTTACCAGTGAGAAGCATTCAATATGGAACTTAAAAAACACTGAAGCTTCCACATGCTAACCACGCTATCCCAAATGTTGCGGTAATAGTACTCCGCAGGTGATAAGTAAACTCAGTCATCCGAGAAAAGCAAATCGATTTGATCAGCAACCCAAAAGATCAGGAAGCGCAACGTATCACCTTACAAATAAAAGCCAAAGTGTAGGACACCTATTCTGCATCTCATACATCTTGAGACATTAAACAGCAGAAAGCTCCTACATACGTTTAGAATATCGGAACATACACACGGCCACCAAGAAAAGCAATAAGGTTAAAAGCCTGAAACCGCCAAATATGTGGGTTTTGAGGGTTCCTGTGACAAACCATATAGGGAGCCATATGCTTTGTGTCGTAGTATCACTGTTTGCGAGGTAGGTAGATAAGTGGTTGTTGCTACGTGATAAAGAGTCATTGTAAGTGTGAGTTGGGTGTGTGAGAGAAGATTATCCAACTGGGTGGAGTTGGTTTGGAGGAAGAATGATAGGCAACGTATCGGTTAAGGAAGTGTTGGGTGGTAAGGGAAATTGTGGTTTTATATTGTGGTTTTGGCGAGCTAGGTAATGATGTGCGGGGCTGAATAGATGATATTGGAGTGCAAGTGGAAGCTTGATCGATAGCTGCTACCTTGACGTGATGATTTTGTTTGTGTATCGTGATGATCCAACGAGCTGTGCTGGTGTAGCGCTTGTTTCCTCGAGATCTTACCATACCGGAAACGTCTGTTGGATGGTGATGTAGCAGTTAGCCATATTCGTAACATGTTCTGAATGAAATGGTGGCTCATGATGGCTGAGATCAGTTATTAGTGACTAGTGGTGATCTAAAACCACAGAACGTATTTCCGACCACACCCTCCTATAATACAAGCCAGTTTTCATGACATCGAACGTGACTAGACCCTAGCAGATGTCCCATGGTCTCTGTGATTACGCACTAACCTTTCTTTTTCGGATACCTCTAGAAGACCTAACCTTTCACGGTGTGCGCAGACAGGAAGTGTCAACCCCTCTCTCATCTTTGTCAGCACTCAAGTTTCCTCAGACCATTTTCTACCTCTCGAATCCTTACCTTCTAATCTTTCTTCACGTCCTTCAGTTAACAAACCTAAATCATCTTTCATTCCCTCTAGCTCTGAAACTTTCGACAACTATCTGACCCCACAGAATAGCACCACTGGTCTCCTTAAACCACTTGTAGCATTTTATTTCACTGTATTGTGTTTATATATGTAACAACTCATTGAACATTTTTTGTTTAATTGCACTGAAAAAGACTTTTTGCTCGCTCGTTGACTAGTACAACATCCTGATATATACTTCGCGTTAACTCCTGATATTTACGCTGTCTGACGCAGGTGGATCAGCAGTGTCGGGAATTATAAATAGGCGATAGTGTATCTGGACATGTATATAAAATTTGGAGTCAGATTTCAGAGCTCGACACACTCTCCAAATTACGCGATGGAGCCTTCAATGTCCTCCATCAAATCGGCCGATAAGCTTCACCAGCTAAAACTCCAGCAACTCAAACCATGAATATGTGCTGAGTTTTTGAGACACGCATACAAGACCTAAGTACGGTTATTCACTTAACCTCTCTCACTGAACATGATGAATCCGAAAAATTCCACCTTCGAGTTTCTGGAGATTCGATGGCCTGTTCCACGGGTTTTCAGGTGTAAGCATAGAATTAAGCACTAAGGCAGAAAACTCACTGCTACACTAAATTCCAGTTGGCAGTCACTTATGCCCTATCCGGCTGAACGGTATAGTGAGAACTAAGAGGAACAGTGAAACTTGCCGTTGTCTTGTTGAAATCTCTGTTAGCTCAGTCACTGTAGTTCGGATGAAGTGAAAGATGGGTCCTAACGGAAACTTTCTAGATTCCGTCTGAAAGCCAAACTGTCAAGTGTGGTTGTTGTTGAAAGTGATTTCAATGCACAGGCGAGCAGGCTGAGTCAACCAGAAGGGCACTTAGGTGGCGCTTTTGGAATCCTAGCTGAACGAAGAGATAACGGTGATCACCTGCTACAACTATGCTCAGACCATTTATTTCTAGCTAGCATAAACTTCAGACATAAAGAAAGGCATTGTCTGATGTGGTGTCCACCGAGCTCAACACAGATGGACCACATTGCTTACAGTCATCAGTGGAGAGGGTCGGCAGAAGACTGCTGCTTCTTCTGTAGCGCGTGTACGGATAGTGACCACGCGTTGGTTCGAGCACGCAGATGTCTGCATCCAAAAAGAAATAGAAAAAAGCTTCGCAACAAGACCACTTTGAGTGCGGCTCAACAACGAGAGTACTAAGCTCCCTTTCAGTAGGCAACTGGCTAGACAGTTATCAGAACAGAACACTATCACTCATTCAGAAGAAGTTTGGTGCCGCCTCAGGTCTGCTGTAAAAACAGCGTTGTAAACCACAACCAACTCTCGAACAGTGATTAAAAAGAGCCAGTAAATATCAGTATATTCTTGTGAACAAGTGGATGCACTCCAACTCGTTCCTCCAGGCTCTAAATACAGAGAGCAGAGAACGCAACTCGAACGTAAGCTGACAAAGTCTACTCAATGACCGCTAGCAGTCGTAGGTGGCGAGGGCTAAGGAGATGGAAGAAGCGGCAGTGATAGGTAACAGAAGACAATTATTTAGACTTAGCGAGGAAACCGGCGAAAAAAGTCAACAATGGTTAGTGAGATTGTAGCGGAGAAAGACGGGTGAGACAACTGTAAAGATAGGAAGAATACTTCCAAGAACAATTTAACTGGATTCCAGAAACTAATGTGTTGCCTGCTGCTCAGCTGGCTCGTGAATGGAACATTGAGATAGGCTCCCAAACAAAACCAAAATTCAAAGAAGCAGTGGGTAACCCGAAATGGGGAAGGGAAGCAGGACCAGACGGACTAGCTCCTAGGGTATATAAGCATTGTGGTAGAGTGCTCTTGGTCAGGTAGTTAGGTTAACGGAGGTTTTAACTAGTATATGGGATCAAATACGATCCTCTCTGACTGGTCTAAATCACCGATTATTCCAGTCTTCAAGAAAGGCGAGAAGTCCTCTTGTGATAACCATAGAGGAATCAGCTTAACGAACATAGTATCTGGAATACTAGGTTCTATTATTCTTCGACGCCTGAGTGGAGCTCGGGAACAGCAACCCCAAGAAAACCAGGCAGGCTTCAGACCCGGCCGCGAATGCATCGACCAAATATTCACTCTCCGTCAGGTTCTGGAACACAAATACGCTTACCGACGCTCTACAATATCTGTATTTCTCGACCTGAAGGTGTGTTACAGCCCATGGTGAGATGCCCAGGGAGCTATGTTCGTCGAGTGATGTCCGTCAAGGGTGCCCACTCTCTACATTTCTATCCAATTTTATCATAGATATTTTCATGGAGGTCTCCCTCTCATCACCTGATTACACAGAGGTTGACCTAATCGCGGGAGAATTCTCGTTAGACCT